AAATGCGCTTCAGAACGGTATAAAACTTGCAAAAATCTAGTAGCAAATAACATCGCGGCGAGCATTTGAAAATTGGGCGTCAAAAACCGCAAGAACTTTCTTCACGACCTAATATATTTTTGTGAACTCCGCATTTAATTCGGGAATCGTGTAGCATACTCGCATTCCAAATGAAACCTTTGAGCAAGAGCGTCCTATAGATTTATGGGAACTTTAACTAAACAGACTCGATGAACTCTTCCATATCATTCCTTCGAGTGGACGCAGGTGAACGGTTACTAGCTCTAGAAAACCAGAACTTGCCCTCAAAAACTAGTGGTTGGGAAGCTTACAATGCTCATATCTTATAATGCTAGTGGGTTGCAATCAACCCTTTAAATGGAGCTATACCCATTTTATTGGCATGCTCTTGAAACATACGGCCACTTTGAGATGATGACTTGTTTTTATTACTTTTTGGAATTACCGTGTTGTTACCGTTTTCATTTTTTCGTGCTTCCTTTCGTCATGCAGCTTATGGTTAGAGGTCGAACGTTGAGCTCCGGCATCAGAAGTGGAATGTTGTACCTACAAAAAATGTCGTCCTGTTGCGATATCTTCCTTAGCCCATTAAAATGGCTGTGGTTAGAGGTCGAACGTTGAGCTCCGGCATCAGAAGTGGAATGTTGTACCTACAAAAAATGTCGTCCTGTTGCGATATCTTCCTTAGCCCATTAAAATGGCTGATAAATATTGCCCCTGATAACTACGGCAGGCTGTTTCTTGAAAAGTGATGGCAGTTCACTCATCACAAATCAAAGTTCAGCAGCCTGAGAAAAATTGTCATCATATTGGCAAAGCATCTCTGTTCGCAACTGAGGAAGACTGATAAGTGCTGCTTCTCGATACTACAGAAAGTTGTATTTCAATAGTATGTAGATCTTTGGCTTATACAAGTAAATAGCACTACAAATCTTCCTCAATGCATGAATCGGATCTTACTAGCGAAAAGCTTCTAGTTCATGCTGAACGGTTTTTACTTGACGCCTTGGAACATTGTTATCATTAGAAGCCGGGTAATAGAAGGTCCTGTATAGGACTGAATGATTAAAAGCAAATGAAAAAGCGGTCAAAACAGAGTTCGACGGTTCTCTAGGTAATTTGGGCGGTAATAGAAGCAGTAAAGCCAATACGAGACTTTGGAGGACCAGATCTTGATAATCTAACCACTGCGAGTTTCACTATCGAGTTTCACTAGTTTCACTATTGAACCATCTTCACTTCATATCGATACTTTTGTTTATTAGTTCAGATGAGCCCTGAAAGTAATCCGTCTTATTCACTCCACCTAACATCACTCCTGGAGTAAATCAAGTTGGAAAAGAAATCTTTTGCAACCTCTCCTATTCTAGAAGTAATGTTGTGGGAAATGAGGGACTGTTTTTTTCGTTGTACATACCGCGTGATCTAATAGCCGGACTCAGGTCATGGGCCTGTTTTAGTTAACGGATAGAGGGAGTTTATAGGCATGCCTTGTGGTCAGTCTTAGCGAAATTCACAGTTTTATCGTCCTCCCCCAACTGGTAAAATTTTAACGAAACAGTTTGATGTACTCGAAAGAACTTGAAATAGAAATAAACCTAATCAAAGCTCTCAGTGTAAATTTCACATACTTAACTGACATCCGGTATTAAAGGATATAAGATAAAGTTTTTGGCGTTAATCAATCCCGTCTGAGGGATGCGCCCTCGCACTCGACTTCCATTCAGAATCGTAGTGGCGTAATGAGTGTGTATGTGGCCTATACAATGACTTGCGGCAGCCAGCCGATGTACAAGTTAGTGCTTTTACCCTCCCAGACGTGTCTGGTACCATTCACCGACCCCGGGAGGATGGAGGGCTTCGTTGGCCTAGGCGGGCATCGATCCTGGATTCGAACTCCTGACCGTGCGTGTGATATAGTGCGCCACTTGCCACTACACCACCTCCGCTACACCATTAGACTTTCCCACAAAGGGTTTCTACATTCATATCCGTATTGAACAACAGCCGCAACAACTCCCTAACTTCACCCCATACCGGCACACTTCAGCCGTTGAACAGGGGAGATTCGGGTCTTCACTCCCACCTAATCACCAACATCCAGCGACAACCGATATCAATCATTTTTGAGGTAGCCATCGTACGAATTATGTGATTATTAGGTTATAGTGATAGAGCCACTAATCGGTTAGCAACGGGCGAATGTCCTGGGCATTGGGTGACCAGTACCAGCCAGGTGAGCGGCTATCGATTTGTTTGTTCACGGCCTCAATCAATTCTGCTGCTGAAGATGTCAGCAGGGCGACTCATAGCTACGCTGTTAGTACTGGGAGCTTCTGCCAGCACGTACCATGTCCAACAGACTAGGTGGGTCATCTTTATATTTAGCTATCCATGGTGAATACAGAGATGTTAGCACTGCAGACCAGAAGTGCAGAGTTCTGGTATTCGTGCCTCAACATTTGCTTCATATTTGGAGTAGCCTTTGAGCTGCTGCTCAACAGTACTAAAACCTTTTTTCTCAGCGACCTTTTCCGTTTCACAAATTTGTCCTCATAAATAAAAACAAATGAATGATGCGCCCAGGAATCTGTCTCCTCGTAGCTATCCAAATAAGCCAGAAAAATGGAATGGTGATTTAGAAACGGGCCGATCTCTTAACCGGTTGGAGACGAGACGCGCTATAACATCATGCCTACCATCATAATGGGAGGAATAAGAACTTACAAGTAACGTAAGTAAAAAAATGACCAACTATGCACGTTTACAGAAGAACTTCGATTTCTAAATCAAAAAATTTTAAGTTATTCTTAATTTAAACGTTTGACAAGTAAATTGTTGACCTATGAGGTGAATTCTTAATCTCAAAGGGGTTTCATTGCAGTAGTAAAGGAATTTGCTCTAATTGATTGTGAAGCCGTGGACTACTGCGAATCTTATTTGGTCCATCTCAATAAAAGAGTACTGAAACGATGCTGCGTGCGCGAAGAGCTCCAATGGAGTCACGCGTGAATCGCCCACCTTCCCCCACCCCCCCCC